AAGTAAATCTAGAGTAGTCATCAATGATTACAAAACCATAATAATTTCCACCTAGACTTTTTGTTCTAGAAGGTCCAAAGAGGTCCATATGGAGAAGCTCAAGGGGTCGTGAAGTGGAAATCATATTTTTGGATTTGAAAGAGACCCTTGTTTGCTTTCCCATTTGGCACGCGTCACATAGGTGATCTTTTGTAAATTTTATCTTTGGAAGACCCGCTACTAGATCCTTAGATACAACCTTATTAAGTAAATCAAAGTTAACATGCGCTAGACGTCTATGCCAAAGCCAAAAATCATCATTCAAGGTGACTAGACACTTAGTGCTTGTTAATGATACATCAAAAAGGTCAAGCATATAGACATTGTTTACTCTAATACCCTTAAACACAATATTATGTTCAGTATTTTCAATTATGCAGCAAGTGTTTGTGAAAGTAACTGTATAACCCTTGTCACACAATTATCTAATACTTAACAAATTGTGTTTAAGCCCCTCTACTAAATGGACATCAGAAATAGTAGTGGTAGAGGGATTACCTACACTACCTTTACCGAGTATCGCTCCTTTGTTATTGTCTCCATAAGTAAGAAATCCCTTCTTCTTTGCTTTGAAGTCAATGAAAAGCGATATGTCACCTGTCATGTGCCTTGAACACCCGTTGTCTAGAAACCATCTTCTATCCACGAATGTAAGACACTTTTCCTGCAATATCAAAAGAGAGGGGTAGGTACCCAATTTTTATTGGGTCCATGTGGGTAAGTGGTAACATGATTTCCTTTAGGCCTCCATTGGTAAATGCCTTTAGGAACAAGAAATCTCCTAAACTTACATTTTTCAATGGTATGACCAAAACGACAATAATAATGACACAAACCATGATAATGATGTATTTTCTTACTTCTGCTCATTGAATCCTTTGGAATCATTTCAACAACAGAATATTTTTCATATGGTGGATTCAACATTTTCTTAAAAAGTCTAGGATCGACGACAAAAGTAACCTTGGATTGTAAAGCTTTTTCCAATTTGGCATTAAGAGTTCTAACCTCTTATTGCCAAATATGAAAAACTTCACATTCCCTTCTAGAAATACATCCTCTAACATACTTATCCTTTGAATTTTCTGCAATACTAGCTTTTAGATATTTTAAGTCTTTTTCAGCTTTATAGACTTTACTCTCCAAGAATAAAAATATTTTTTTGTCGGAGGATAATCTCTTAAAATCATCTTCGGCTTTGTTTTGCAGTTTTTCAAAAGCTATTTTCAGTTCAGAAAAAGACATAGAAGAAAAGTTGTTAGGATATGCTTGTCTTACTTGCTTGTCGTGGTTGTTTTTCTTGTGGTAGGACTAATTTTTTTTTGTGCCATGAGACATAAATTTGCAGTCTCATCACTATCACTCGAACTGTCATGGTTTGATGAATCACTATCGTTTTCCCATGCAATGTAAGCTCTTCTTTGTTTATTGAACTTCTTTGGTGGAGCTTTTCCTTTGTCTTTTTTCATCTTTGGACAGTCCCATTTGTAGTGTCCAACTTTACCATAATTATAGCAAGGTCTTTTACTTCTTTTATTTTTATTCTTTTCTTGCCTTGGCTCTTTGGACTTTTTTTCGAAAGCTTATGAGATTCTTATCGGAGTGTTTGATTCCATTCTTTCGAATAAACCTATTATATCTCTGAACAAAAAGTCTCATTTCTTCATCATCAGAATTTTTATCACTACTTAAGTCATTATCTTGCTCTTTGTTTGAAGACTTGGAGTTAGAATTCATTAGAGCTATTGACTTCTTCTCACCCTCTCTGTCTATATTCTTCTCCTTCTTACTCTTGTTTTCACATTTTTCAAGACTTTCCAATTCTTATTGATTTTCTTCCAGCTTGCCAAATAGAGTTGTAATGGTAAGCGTAGTGAGATCATTGGCTTCATTGATAGTTGTTACTTTAGGTTTCCATTTCCTACTAAGACATCTCAGAATTTTATTAGTAGCAATTTCATTGGAAACAGGTTTTCTAAGTGCATTTAAACGACTAACAAGATAAACGAATCTCTTTTGCATGTTGGAGACATATTCTCCTTGTTTCATGCAAAAGAGCTCGAACTCTTGATTGAGTGTGTTAATGCGTGACTGTTTAACTTCAGTAGTTCCCTCATGGGAAATTTCTAAAGCATCCCACATTTCTTTAGCATACGTGCAATGAGACACCCTATAATATTCATCAACACTAAGTGCTGAGGTTATCATATTTCTGCCTCTCCAATCGCATGACCACTTCTTTTCATCTATTTCATTCCATTGATCCTCAGGTTTAGGTACTATTTCACCTGCATCATTCCTCGTGGTAATTTGAAAAAGACCATTCTGAATGGAAGTCCATACATTCCTGTCAATGGAATTTATGTGTACTTGCATGCAGTCTTTCCAGTAGCCATAGTTTTCACCATTGAAAACAGGAGCTCTATTATACGCCTCCTTTGGTTCAAAGGCCATAGCGTTATTAGTAGACACAAAACACCAGCTAACCGGCACTCTGATACCACTTGTTAGATGGTGTGGAAAGTGATCGAGGAGTGGGGTGAATAGATCACCTCCTTATTTTTCAAGGATTTAAAATCTTTTATCAAAGTTTGTTAAAAGCAACGGAAAAGTAAGGTCCAAAATCAACTTTCGTCTATTTTGAACCAACTATTAGAAAACCGGACATGCGATAAACTTGTTGGATTTTATTAGTATGAAATAGATGAATCTTAAACACAGATTACTTAACGTTTTTAATGCACTTATCACAAGAACAATGTTTCCAATGAATTAAAACTTGTAAGCAATTTTGTTAAACGGTTGACGTATGTTTGTTTGATGATTAATAATGGTGATTTGATGAAAGAGTTTGAACCACTATTTTATCACTAAACAGAAAACTCAGCAAGCCAATTGAATCACAAAATTACGAAAAATGTAAAGAGATAGCGAGAAAGAAAAAACAATACGCAGGCAGTTTGGTAAGGAAGTTCCCCACTGTCGTCCTCGCGTGTGGATATGTCTCCCTCTTAATTCCAAAATTGAAATTGAGAATTCTTATAACAATTTTGCTGAATGTTTGAATACAGGGTTACACTACACAGACAAAAAGAAATCTCTAAGATCTTCTTCTTCTTCTTGTAAGAACCTCCACTTGATATGAGTCTTATCAATATTCCATACAAGATCCACAACCGATCCTCCGCTTCCACGACATGTTTGCAAAAATCCCTCTGATTTTTAAACCCCTCACTACGGCTGAATCCGACTTGTGTGACTGTGACTAACAAATCCTCAAGAACACGTCCGTTCTTAAAGGAAAAACCCATTGGTTTTTCCTCGAAGCCCCCTTCAGAATCTTTAACCCAGCTGAGATCCCTTGAATGCACAGTTGAATGTTATCTCTTGATCTCTTGATCCAATTGAACAAAGATGTTTGATTTTCGTTGTTGTTGTTAAATTAAGATGATTGAGAAGATGATGAAGTATCTTTCAGGCTTCTTGCTGCTCAGAATTGATGCTCACAATTGTAAATAATTGTGTCATGTTTTTGCTACTGAAAAACTTACTTATATATGTACCAGAAAATGGTTAGAGACAGAAATTCGTATTATGAGTCGATGCATGTTAGCATGAGTTGACTCATGTTAGTTATGTAACACATAATGAATCGATACATGTTGTTATGAGTCGATGCAAGCAAATATTATAACATATTACAGAACCAACCATTTTACATGAGTCGATGCATAACACGTATGTGTCGACACATACTGGATTGAACTTTTGATTTTTTAAGACAAAACGTGTTATGAGTCGATGCATGATGTTATATATCGATGCATAAAAGTTCAAAAATATTTTCCAAGGACCTCAACATATCATGTGTCGATGCATGAAGTTATGTATCGATGCATAAAAGTTGAAGGTTGTATTCCAGGGGCATCAATATGTTATGAGTCGATACATAGCATGGATGTGTCGACTCATACTGAAGCAGAATCATTTTTATGATTCTTTGCTTAAGTATACGTCGATGCAAAGCTGTTTGTGTCGACTCATAACAGTGTTTTATGTGTAAAACACATTTTTAACTCATTTTAAACATGTTATACTATTTTTTTTACAATGCACACATGTAGGTAAAGCGTTTTAAACATTCATTGATTATTTCACATATATTTGCTATCATTCAAAACCAATTATATGAAGGGGTTGCTCACAATGTTTTGTCTGTTTTGGTAACATTGCTAATGTTGTTCAGGATCTGCTGGTCAAGTTATACCAGAAAGAATGGAGTAAGGGGCAGGTTATTGAAGATGTGGTTGCAACATTTGACGGCTATTTTAGTGATGTAAGAATGTACCTTGAGGACAATTTGTTATTCAAGCAATGAGATCCAGAAAAAATATCTCTATTTTCATATTGATTCTAGAACCTTGAGGACAAGATTCTATGTGAATCGAACGGTAATGATAGAAAGTGCAATTAGATATTTTAATTAGTAATATAATGTTAGTTGTAATTTTATTTTAAATATTTGGTTGAATTAGGATTTTAGTAGTATTTGAGCCTTTAAATTTATTCTCATTAGAAGTACTATATATTGTAGTCTCATTAACATATTAGATATCAATCAATCAAATAAAAAAGTTTTTTATCTTTCTTCATTTTATTTAGTTAATTTAATATTTTTCCCTTTTTAGTCTAGAAATCCTAATTTATAACTTATCATAATTGATAGGATATAGTTTCTTCAAAGAGTGGGAAATTCATTATAGTGAAGTATAAGTCTATATTTTGTTCTATCACGAGATCATTAGTAATTGACTTTTGAATATCTAAAATTGATCTTAATATTTTTAATTGATATATAAAATCAAATTATATTAGGACCGGTCCCATTATAATAACGGTTGGAAAATCTTAAGAGTTAAGAAGGGTGTTTAACGTGAGACCCACACGCTTGTCTTTGGGCAATGACAAGTTTCCATTTGGAAGGAACCGAGTCTCCAACAACAACAAAAAAACAAATCAAACAATTCTTAGCCGACACAAGCAACAACGTTTTCTGCTTTTTCCCCACTAATAACCTTTTCACGTTTGTCCCACTTCTCCTATCTCCAACAATTATTATACTTTACATAACCCTTTCCCTTCACCATTTGCCAATTCCTCGAAAAAATCTCATACTCCTATCAAACCTCATTCCAAAGAACAAAAACCAAGGTTCGTGTACCTTAATTAACTAATTACTAAGGGTTTTTTTCTCTCTTCCAACATTTGACTTTGTCATTCCATTTATTCATGTTTCTAATGTCAAACCTATTAGATAACGTTATTACATGATTTTATGGTTGGCTTGGCTCTTATTTGACTTCACAATTTCTTATTATTATTATTAATATCATTTAATATTCATTCATTCATATCTTCATCTTCTATATAATGCCTATGATTGTTTCATTATCATGATTATAATCTTATATTGGTGTATTTATGTTGACGATGATTCGACTTCCTTTGCTGATTCTTGTGTTAACAATTTCTACAACAGTGAGAAACAAAATGGCCACTGCAGAGAATGCATACACTCTTGATTCAGTGAGGAAGGCTTTGGTTAGACAAGAAGATACAATTGTTTTTGGTCTCATTGAGAGAGCCAAGTTTCCTTTCAATTTTCATACCTATGATAAGAATTACCTTCAACTCCCTGGTTTTTGTGGCTCATTGGTTGAGTTTGTTTTCCAGAATACCGAAACTGTTCAAGCTAAGGTTAATAATTATCGTCTGTTTTGTTTGATATATTTGATTTTTTTTTAAGTACTTGTGAGAGAGCTTATGACAATGGTTTGAGTAAAATATTGTGATTATATGACAGGCCGGAAGATACGAAAACCCCGAAGAGAATCCCTTCTTTCCAGAAAATTTACAACCATTGCTTGTGCCATCTTACCCTTTCACAAAGGTAATTCATAAAAAACAGATGATTTTCCGATTTTCACAGCTCACACAAATTTTAGAATCAAAATGATTTGTTTTGTAATTCATTCTGTCTACAGATTTTGCACTCTGGAGCCGCTTCGGTTAATATAAACAAGTCCTTGTGGAAAATGTACTTTGATGACTTGCTTCCGTTGTTTGTTGCTTCGGGCGATGATGGCAACTACGCACAAACTGCAGCTAGTGATCTCTCATTGTTGCAGGTGAAATTTTGTTCATGTATTTTGGTCCAACTTATAAGAGAATTTCAAATATAAACTAGGACTTGTTTGAAATGGCTTATTTGAGCTTATTTATTAACACAAGCTCTTCTGAAACTATCTGGAAAAACTGATAGGAAAAACTTATGGCGTGTCTGTAAGTTGTTTTCATCTTATTTCTAAAAGATCTTCAGGACAGATTATACTGAAGTACTCATATGATAAGTGTTACTGCTACGTGTTTGATTAAGTTGTCTATCCAAACAAGTCTGTATTGATATTCTGACTTGTGATTCTGTAAGATATTTGCAGGCCATTTCTAAAAGGGTTCATTATGGAAAGTTTGTAGCTGAAGTTAAATTCCGGGAATCTCCTCAAGACTACGAGCCTTTAATTCGTGCTAAGGTATAGATTGTTTGCATATTTGTGTTGGAAAATCTAGTTCCATCATTCTTATAATTTCATAAATTGATTTTGTTTTGCAGGACAGAGAAGGGTTGATGAAATTGTTGACATTTAAGAGCGTTGAAGAGATGGTGAAGAAGAGGGTTGAAAAAAAGGCAACATTGTTTGGTCAAGAAATAAGCCTTGACAGCAATGATGACAGCAAAGAGAAAAAAAAGTTTGATCCATCAGTGGCTTCTAAATTGTATGAGAAATGGGTAATACCTCTTACTAAGGAAGTTCAGGTGGATTATCTATTGCGCCGGTTGGATTGAATCCGTAGTTATTTTGATATAATTTGAAGAAAGGAATATATGATAATGATGATATCATTCTTCAAAAGCTTACGCTTTATTTACGTGATCCTTCATTGCCTATTTATTGTGACTTATAATTATAATTCTGAAAACGATGTATGTTGCTTTGATTTAACGAAAGCGTAGAAATTTTAAGAGGAGGAATTTCAATGGAAGGAAATGTTAGCTTGTATTTTAACAAATATGGAGATGCTTTAGCAAATATAAGATGTTAATTTCGACCGTTTTGGCCTAATTGGCCACTTTTAACTAGTTACAAATTAATTTTCTTGTATATAATTAATTACAAACAATTATTATTGTTGGTTTTGGATTTTGAAATATTTGTCACCGAAGAAATTATCAGGTTGAGTCGCGGATTAGGTCGTTCTCTTTAAGACGTTTCGCGACACTGCTTAAAATTATGCAAAGCAGTCGAACTACCGCGCCGCCTCCAGGATAAAACAGTCCAGTTCTATATTGTACGATTACTACTTGTATGATAGATAATCGGTCTAGAAATATACCATCTGATGGTACAAAATCATTCACATATGGTATCAACACCACTCGTACAAAGAGAATATAATAATGGTCATTTGACCACTCATAATAATTTCTCTAACAAAGAGAAATTCAAATAATTCTCCAAAGAGAATTCAAAAGATTAAACTTGAAAATTTCTCAACTCAAATGAGGAGAAATTAACATAATTCTCTAAAGAGAATTCAAGAAAATACTCGGAAAATTCAACGAGTAGCAAGAAAGGGGAAGAAGATGGCGCTTCGACAATTCGAGAGACGCAGAGTTATGAGAGTGAAGAAGGAAAAACTAATAGAATAATTTTTTGTGTGTTTTGGAATGAAACATATGCACTCCTTATATAGTGAAGTAATATAGTTAATATTTCTCACATGAGCAATGTGGGACTAAATGGTTTTTTTCAACCAAAAAGATATTCTAACAATGTGGGACTTGAGAAATTTTTAAATTCAATATATTGGAACATGGACATGTTCCAACAATCCCCCACTTGAATTTAAAAAATTGATTTTAGAAGTAACGTCAAACGTTTCTAAGATTGTGCATAAACAAAGGTGTCTACGACTTGAACCTTTGCATAGCAAGTAAGATTCCAATTCAACAAGAGTGACACAAATGTCTTGAACTCTATCTCAGACATCAAACTCGCACACAACCTTTTCTTAAGGTGTATTCTAATAGCCCGTGCTTTAATGGCCCTGCACGTGTATCCCAGTTTAATGAATGCTCTAGGAATTCTGCCTCGAAATTCCATAGGAACCGGCCTAAGTTCCACAATCACATAGGTGAGTCTATCAAGAATACTCATGTAGCCTAGGCACTCCCTCATACAGAGTATAGATCTCATTAAGAGTTTCTATTATCTCATCCTCTTATTACTTCAGGATTTATGCTTTACTTGCATGATCATCTCATATTACTCATAACTTGTTATTACCCATTGAACCTATTTCTTGGGATCTCCAGTCATTTAGGTCGGGTTACCATCATGAGCAATTCATTTTCCTATAGGCATTAGTCCCATCTTATATGATGTATTATAGACTTTCTCTCTAGCTAATCCTTTCGTCAAAGGATCTGCTAAATTTGCATCAGTGCGTACATGATCCACTCTTATAGCTCCTTTAGAGATACAATCTCTAACAATGATGTGCTTTCTTCTTATTTGACGTCTTTTACCATTATAATAACGGTTCTCAATTTTTGCAATAGCCGCGGTACTATCGCAGTGGATCAACACAACTGACATATGTTTTTCCCATAAGGGAAACTCAGTTAGCAAGCATCTTAACCAACTTGCTTCTTCACTAGCAGTCGCTAATGCTATATTCTCAGGATAGTATGTTTCTTTGATTTCCAAGATACAACTCCTCTAGCTATGTTGAATACATAGCCACTAGTTTCTTTGGAATCAACAGATAAGGTATTCCAATCTGCATCATTGTATCCTTCAGATACAATAGGAAATCTCTGATAATGTAAACTGAGATTCATGGTCCTTTTAAGGTACCGTATGACTCACTCAATAGCTTGCCAATGTTCATTACTCGGTCTACTAGTAAACCCGCACAACAATCTCACGACATATGCAATGTCAGGTTTAGTACAATCAATGGAATACCTAAGACTTCCAATGATGCTCGCATGTTCTGTTTGTCTAACACTTTCACCGGCGTTCTTAAACAACTTCACGTTTGGATCATTTGGTGTGCTCACAGGTTTACTGCCAAAGTAATTATATTTCTTTAAGATCTTTTTCACATATTGTGATTTATCCAAAGAAATTCCTTGCTCGGATTTTGTGATCTTGATACCAAGAATCACACTCACTTCTCCGAGGTCTTTCATATCAAAGTTGTTACACAACAATGATTTCATATCATTAATGACCTGAATGTTTGATCCAAATATGGATAGATCGTCTACATATAGACATATGATAGTGCAAATACAATTCTCAAATTTGTAATAAATGTATTTGTCACTTTCATTCACTTTGTACACACACATTCGATATCATTAAGTTATCAAACTTTACATGCCATTGCTTTGGAGCTTGTTTTAGCCCACACAAAGACTTATCTACTTACGTACCTTGTTTTCTTATCCATAGATCACAAACTCTTCCGGTTGTTTCATATAGATTTCTTCTTCTACGTCACCGTTTAAAAAAGTTGTTTTAACATCCATTTGGTGTACTATTAAGTTATAAATAGCAGCTATTGAAATAAGTACCCTAATGGATGTAATTCTAGTGACAGGAGAAAAGGTGTCGAAGAAATCTATATTTTCTCTTTGTCTAAAACCTTTGGCAACAAGGAGAACCTTGTATTTATCAATAGTTTCATCAGATTTTAGTTTCTTTTTCAAAACCCATTTACAACCGATTGGTTTGCAACCAGGAGGTAAGTCTACTAAGTGTCAGGTCTTGTTAGATTCTAGAGATTATATCTCATCATTGATAGCTTCTTGCCATAACTAAACATCCAGAGATGACAATGCTTCTTGAAGATTCATTGGATCTTCTTCTACATTATAAGCCGCATAATCAGGCCTATAGTCTTTAGCAACTCTTACTCGTTTACTTTGTTGAAGTTTTGTTTCTACATTGTCGTTGCTTTCTGTGCTTCTTATCACATGAATGTGACTCGATTGTGTGCCCCCACTATTTCTCAATTTGAAAGGAAATTTGTCTTCATAGAATTCAACATCAGTTGATTCTATGATCACTTTTGCCTTTAGGTCATAAAACCTATATGCTTTATTGTTTGCTGCATACCGAATGAAAACACATTCATATGCTCTACTAGCGAGTTTAACTCGTTTCAAATCCGGAATTCTAAAGCAAGTCAGACAACCCCAAGTTCTCAAATAAGTCAAGTTTGGTTGTCTTTTCTTTAATATCTCATAAGGAGAGATCTTACATTTTGACTTGGGGACTCTATTCAGGACATAGCAAACAGTCAATAAAATTTCCCCCACCAGTGAGGAGCAGCATCAGAATTCATCATAATTGCAACAACATGTTCAGTAAAAGTTCTATTCTTTCTTTCTATTTTACCATTCATTGCAAGATAGTATGGTGCAGTCGTTTCATGTACAATTCCATGTGTAAAATTCATTAATAGACTAGACTCATACAGTTTCTCTATCACTATAAATTCTTATTATATCATTTTCAAATTCTTTACAAAAAGTTTTAACATATAAACTTCATTCTTCGTAATGGCGTATAAATCTACCCCAATAGACTAACTAAACCATGTCTTATTTAAAAGAAAACTAGAAATAATATTCTTTCTAATCTTAGGAACCTGCATAACGTTCTTTAAGATTAAATTCTTTTTGAAGGTGAAATTTAGCTCCATGTCTACAATTCCAGCAACATTCATGGTCTGGCCATCTCCCAGCAACACTTTCTTATCTTTAGTATTCGTGTATGTTTAAACATAACATGATCATAGTAGACAAAACGAGAGACACAGGTGTCTATCCACCAACCAATATATTTATCAACCATGTTGATTTCAATGATCATAGCAATAAATTGCCCATTAGTCAGGTTGACCTGTGCATTAGGGACAACACCAAGTTCAAGCTTACTTCTACATTTCTTAGTCATATGACTTGATTTTCCATAATTAAAACAAAGGGAAACCAACGTCATTTCTTTTAGGTGGTGGTTGTTGTCTAGTTGGAGCTATTGGGATCATAGAAGGATTCTCATTCTTTATTCGGTTCACAATATTGCAGTTCTGATTCTTTAATCATTTGCCTAATGGCTTCAGAACTACACCGAATTTCTTTTTGTTGTTTGAAACAACCAAGACTTTTTCTTTTTGATATTGTCTCTAAGATTCCCTTTTTGTTTTTTTTAAACATTCAAACTATGGGATAGTTTGTCAATAATAAAACCAATTTTTAAATTGATCATTTAAACACATACCTTTTGTGATGATCTTTTAAGCAATCTTTTGAAGTTCGTAATATTGAGCCTCCATCGACCTTACATCTTTGCATTTGATACTTGAAGTAACAGCTAACAACATACTTCTTTGCTCCAGCTTCTACGTCATACTTCTTTTTCTGAGTCTTTCAATCTTGTTTTGCAGTATCACGTCAACTGTAATTATCATACATATCATCTGCAAGTCTATTCAAAATATGATTTTGTAGAGATTTTCATTCTCTTTCTATAAGGTGATTTCTTTACTATGTTGTAAATCATTCGCTTTAATCTGTGCAGTAGATTCAACTTCAACACTATTAAGTGTTCCTTCTAAATCTCCATATTTATTACCGTTACTTTGTTCGATTGATCCAGAAGGAGCAACAGAATGTCATCGATCAAAACGTTAGCAATTTTTTTCAACATTAAGAACTTCATCTTTTGTTGCCAACGTTTGAAGTGACTTCTCTCAAACATGAACGATTTCTCAACGACAATATCCGCAAAAGAACCAATAATTTCTTCGGTAGTCGTGGCAGTTTGAAACGTCTTAAAATTGTTGGTTTTGGTTTTTGAAATATTTGTCACCGAAAAAATTACCAGGTTGAGTCGCGGACTAGGTCGCTCTCTTTAAGACGTTTCGCGGCACTGCTCAAAATTATGCAAAGCAGTCGAACTACCGCGCCGCCTCCAGGATAAAACAGCCCAGTTCTATACTGTACGATTACTACTTGCATGATAGATAATCGGTCTAGAAATACACCATCTGATGGTACAAGACCATTCACATATGGTATCAACACCACTCGTAGTATCTGGTACAAAGACCAGTCATAATAATTTCTCAAACAAAAAGAAACTCAAATAATTCTCCAAAGAGAATATAATAATGGTCATTTGACCACTCATAATAATTTCTCAAACAAAAAGAAACTCAAATAATTCTCCAAAGAGAATATAATAATGGTCATTTGACCACTCATAATAATTTCTCTAACAAAGAGAAATTCAAATAATTCTCCAAAGAGAATTCAAAAGATTAAACTTGAAAATTTCTCAACTCAAATGAGGAGAAATTAACATAATTCTCTAAAGAGAATTCAAGAAAATACTCAGAAAATTCAACGAGTAACAAAAAAGGGGAAGAAGATGGCGCTTCGACAATTCGAGAGACGCAGAGTTATGAGAGTGAAGAAGGAAAAACTAATAGAATAATTTTTGGTGTATTTTGGAATGAAACATATGCACTCCTTATATAGTAAAGTAATATAGTTAATATTTCTCACATGAGCAATATGAGACTAAATAATTTTTTTCAACCAAAAAGATATTCTAACAATGTGGGACTTCAGAAATTTTTAAATTCAATATATTTGAACATGGACATGTTCTAACAATTATAAATAAAACTGATTTTTTTACTCCACTTTAACAACCGGGTGAAAAGTAGACAATATACTTATGTTTTTTTTTTTCGGGATCAAAAGAATAAGTTTTATTGCCAAAAAATACTAAGAAGCACCAAACCGATCAAAAGGATCGAGGCTACAAAGTGACAAGCATAAGTAATCCTAGCTATAGCAATTTTTATGAGGCTACTTTTAGATATACTTACGTTTTTTGTTCCTGACTAATATTTGAAGATTACTAAACTCGGTGTTGCAAGTTTGTTATTTTATATTATTAACTTTGGTGATGTTAGTTTGTTCAGTTTCATCCTTTTTGTTTCTTAATTAATATACCCTGTCAATTTAAATGAGTGAATGTGTTTCTTGTCAACAACAAAAAAATCATACTTTTAATCATCATCACTTATTTGAGGGACCAACACTAGAGAGTAGAGACTACACGATCCGTGACAAGCTGTAGACTGTAGTAGACAGGAACCGTTGGTAGTGGAAGATTGGCAAAGTTAAACTCAGGGCAATTGTGATAGCTCGTGAAACCGTTTTTTTAGGTTTTTTGGGTATCTTTAAAACTAGAGATAATCACAATTGAAGGAAAAACAAATTGAATGTCTAAATCATGAGAAGTTTAAGAATTCTTGATCAATCTTAAGCAGAAGAAACTTGTTAGAAAAACATAGACCCATAAACTTAGCAAATTGGATAAATCTACATAAAAGCCTGAGAATAATTTAAAAACCCCTTCCCAGCTAAAATAACTTAACAAATTAGAACTTATTTGGCACTCTAGCTAACTCTTGCTAGTGACAGACATTGATGGGATGAATGCATGTTTCACATGTAAGGTTCTCTCAATGCTGTAGGCAGGACCAGTTCAGGCTCAAATTCGCCAAACGGAGAGAAATAATGGTCAACCATGTCCTCTGATACATCTTTTAAACTAGGTGGATCCCACTGCAAATTTAGGAATCAAACATTTCAGATAACAAGAGAAAAGTAAAAAATGCGTATCACTGAATTTATGGATGTGTATATAGATTCTTGGACAATAGATACCTTTGGTGCAAAATCCTTATCAACCATTCGTGCTCGAACACCCTGCATAAGGGCAAGTCAAGTGAAATCATAAAAACACATTCAAGTTGTTCATTATGGAAAAGATGGAAGGAAAAATCATTACCTCAGTGAAATCAGAGGAAACCTGCTTGGAAATTGCTCGAACAGATACACGATACTCACGTACAAGACATTGATCAAGAGTTTCAAATCTACCTTCCCGAATCTAAATTCAGTAGCAGAGGTCAAGGAAATCGGAAAGAAAAAAAATGCATCTTGAATGGGAAATAAACAAACATGCAAGGGAGATTCAACTCACAGATTGTAAAATAACTTTCAAACTCAATGGGGAGGCTTCTTTTAGTTTCCTGAGAGTTGTCAAACACCATTGATCTAAAGAATCAGCTGCCTCTTTCTCCTGATAAAATATTATTTCATTTTGAAGGAAAGGAATACTATCAAAGAGTGGAGAAGGTAAGCCCCAGATGATAGATAACACCAACAATGCCCCAAACCTGTTTATTCTAACAAAATCCGACATGTTTGGTTCGACAGTTCACTGCATATTTTTTCTGTCTATTAAATTTGTTTTCTATGATTGGGGATGCATATGAAGACACAGATGTAAGATAGCTTTTCATCAAATTATATTATCTGTTAATAAAGATATTATCAATACTAAGTGCTTTTCTTCTGCTAAAACCCCAAAAGAATTCGTCTGCCTATTCTTGTCAGTATTTTTTGGAGAGGTGTTAGAAATATTCCCGATCTCAACTGGAGACTGATACATAGCTAAGGATCAGCTCTTCCCATTTTGGATAATATTAATGTGGTTTTAGGTAAGCTGCTACAGACAAGTCATGACACACGATAGAAACTAAGAAAACAGTCACAGCTTCTACAGACACACAAGCTTTGATTATGACAACTTACGAATAATTTTGAATAAGTTTACGCAAAATAACTGCTTCCAGAAAACTTATGTTTTAGGAAAACATTAGATGATCAAGATGGTAAAGATATATCCGGCCAGCAGTAGCCATACAATAAAGTAAAGATGGTCTCCCAATGCATTCCATTATAGGTCAATATTTCATTAGAGCATGTACAAATACAATGCTTACCAAAGCTTCAACGATTTCCTCCACTGTATCATGACTGAAACATCTATCTATAGTATCAATCCTGACAAAATATAAGAATACCATTCAGAAGCAGAAAAAGATGGCAACCAGGCCAACGTATGAAATCAAATGAGCGTGGGTCTATCTTCAGATAGAAAAATGTGCAATGACTAATGATACTCCTTTTTTAAAATTTCTGTTGTTTCAGTTCAAATCAGAAATAACATCTAAGATGGTAGAATTTCTTGATGAGTTAAAACATAAGCTTGTGATCCAAAGGATATAACATGGTTATGATGAAACTGTCATGATAAAAGTCATAGAAAGGAAATAAGGGTGTGTTGAAGCAACATTACTTGTGAAGGATGCCGTTTCTCTCGGGATAAACGAGATCAGCATATTGTGAAAGGGATGCCTCTACAATAGATGGATCGTCTGTGACTAGTTTACCAAGGCGTTCTTCAAGCCAAGCAAGCCTCTTCAGGAGAAACCAAATCATGTAAAACAGAAAACTGACCAACAAAGATGGTACAAAAAATTAAAGAACGAAGAGAAGAACTGAAGAACATACAGCATTCAGTGAATAATGTGTAGCTAGGCGGCAGGCAATCATTTCTACACCATTAAGCTTATCTCCTGTAAGGGCCAAGTATTCCCCTGTATAGCAAAATATAAAATAATTAACCTTATGTGCATCATTCTCTGGTTTACTGTTTACAATGGGAACTATTGAGTACACGAGTGGGAAAAAAACTAAATCATGAATATCAACAGTGCTTTTGCAAGTATATGGTTGTATAAATAACTATAAGTATTCAGTTGAGACTTTTTTTGTTGAGGAACAAAGGCCCTTATGCAATGCAGAGGATTGGGTTGCTGAAGGTAAGACAAACTTAGAGGTGCATCAAAAAATACCAGAAATCTAGTACGGAGATTGGATCGTTTAACTCAATAGTCTCATAAACTCAAAAAAAAATTCCTCAGTACAAGAATAATGTTAATATCATCTATCATAGCATCTAACACTATTTTAGCTAGTAGGAAAAACAAACCACAAAAATAAAATTTAAATATTTTGCAAAGTATGTAAACATATATGCTCATGACTAAATAGGTGAACAATTAAAATTTGATGGACAAATACACAAATCACCATATATGCTCATGACTAAAAAACGCACAATGAGCGTAACAAGTTTGAAATCGACGGTCAAATTGAGAAATCATAATGCTCAAAATCTAAAGAGTGAAGGATGATTATATGCTCATTGGAATTCATTCAACTCGTTGATATGTTGGGTTCACTGCAACCTTGCAGCAATGCCTTAGTTCATGTTTTCTGTCTGGTTTGCGATTCCGCTATCTTGGGAGTTACAAGTTGATGACATGAGATGATTTTCATCTCCTATACAGACAGGTTCATGATGAGACTCATTCAATCGTCTTCAAACTAATGATTTTATGAAAATTGATCCAAGTTCTCATAGAAATGATTTGTTGAGCTAGTGAACTTTATAGAATTTGTAAATTCAGCATGTCTTTAGTTAGATCACGTTATTTGTATTTATAATAGTCTTACAATAAATACATTGAAGACTAATGAATAAGCACTAACATGGGAAGCTGTATAGTCTAGGAATACTAACAACCAAAGTTAGAATATCTACATTTTTAATTAATTCTAACAAACTTGATTGTGATGCACAAGGCATAAACTTGTGCGATTCTGAATTAACTCAAGAGTTAGACAACCATGACAGCCAGAGTAGAAACTCGAGTTAGAATATCTACATTTTTAATTAATTCTAACAAACTTGATTGTGATGCACTAGGCATAAACTTGTGCGATTCTGAATTAACTCGAGAGTTAGACAACCATGACAGCCAGAGTAGAAAATGTTCAGATCCCACATCTGGTATATGGAAAAATACTTCCAACAATGACTTAGGCAATTCTGCTCCATTAAACTAGCTTTACAAATTGACTTAGACCCAATAAATTCTTAATTATTGTAGTTGTTTAGGTATTGGCATGCATTTTTGGTAAAACCAGGTGTATGAATGTCATGACTGATGTCATAACATTCTAGTTTATTAGGTACAGATTTATTAGGTACCTTTGCAGAAAAATATTGTCATACAGGTGCTGATGTTTATGAGTGTGTATCTGAGCATTTTGCAAAATGATCACATTTACCTAAATCAGTAGACAGGTTTTCAGATGTCATAACAGATGTTAAGACATCCTGTTCTGAACTAACAGGTATGCAGTTTGGTTAATTCTGAGTTTTTTCAGGTAAATGACTCAGTCTTTCCAGAACAGTCTTTCCAGAACAGAATCATGCGTTTTCTTTGGGTTAACCTAGCTCAACCCCAACCTGGTTGATAAAGTCCTGTGACCTAGTCTTAAGGACAAACGGAATTAACCCTAGCTTTTTGTGGAAACCCTAACTGAAGTTGCAGCTGCTATATATTCAACAGGCTGCTGTTTTGAATGTAATCCCTTTTTTGACAGAAGATCATTTAAAAGCTGTATAGTTTTTACTATTGTAATCCAAGCAATTATCATTGTGATAAGTGACTTGGAATAGGTTTTAATTGTAAGGGTTGTGTAACACTCAAAGCTTTGAAGCAAAAGTGTTTGTATGTCTCTTGACTAAAGCTGTGAAGCAAAGTCAAGTTAGGTTTGTGTATCACTCAAAGCTGTGAAGCAAGAGTGTTTGTGTTGCTTGATTAAAAAGCTGTGAAGTATAATCAAGTGTATGTTTTGAAGAGTGTCTTCAACTATTCATTAGTCAAATTGTTTTATGTATCACTGCTGTGATTGAGGGGGAGTGAGTAGGAACTCAGGTTTAAGTTGTACTTAGATTGAAGTTGCATTGGGTAGGTCTTAAGTGAAGGAGATAAACTGGTTGGTTTATTCCTGAATTAATATCTCTTATAGTGGATTTCCTCCCTGGCTTGGTAGCCCCCAGAGTAGGTGTTGTTGCACACTGAACTAGGTAAACAATTGACTGTGTTCTTTACTGTTTTTGTATTTACTGTCTTATAGAAAGTCAGATACGGTGTCATAACATTGAACGTGACATTGAGTATCTGCAGCCAGAATTTCAATTGGCATCAGAGCAGGCACCCTGCCTGTATTACTGGGTGAGATCTAGGGATATCACTTTCTGGCACTATGGACAAAGAAGGAGTTTTTGGAAATAGACCACCCATTCTGGATGGAACTAATTATGACTACTGGAAACCTCGTATGATTGCCTTCTTAAAATCTCTGGACAAAAAGGCTTGGAGAGCTGCTGACAAAGGATGGATCCATCCCACCATAACTGAGAAAGATGGGACAATCAGTTTGAAACCTGAGGAAGATTGGAGTAAAGAAGAAGATGAGTTAGCCCTGGGAAATTCCAAAGCCTTAAATGCCTTGTTCAATGGAATTGATAGAAACATTTTCAGACTAGTACATCAATATGAACTGGCCAAGGAAGTTTGGGACACTCTCAAAACTACCCATGAGGGCACTTCCAAAGTAAAAATGTCAAGGCTTCAGATGTTGACTACCAAGTTTGAGAATCTAAAAATGATGGAAGATGAAACCATTCATGAGTTTCACATGAACATCTTGGAGATTGCCAACACCTCAGGAGCACTGGGAGAAAAGATGTCAGAAGAAAAACTGGTGAGAAAGATTCTCAGATCCCTGCCTAAAAGATTTGCAATGAAGGTAACTGCCATAGAGGAAGCCCAGGACATCAGCAAGTTGAAAGTGGATGAACTTATTGGGTCTCTTCAGACTTTTGAGATGGGGATCACTGATAATGGTGACAAGAAGAACAAGAGCATAGCACTTGTATCCAACACTGATGTTGAAAACAAGGAGGATGAAGAAGAAAATATTTCAGAAGCTATAGCTATGCTTGGAAGACAGTTCAACAAACTCATCAAAAGAATAGATCCAAAGTCAAGGTCTAATGTTCATAACATTCCCTCTGACATTGACAGTTCCAGCAGAAGACCAAGGTCAGAAGAGAAGGGAAATCAAGGCAGAGGAATTCAATGCCATGGTTGTGAAGGATATGGGCATATTCGAGCTGAATGTCCTACCTTTCTTAAGAAACAAAAGAAAGGAATGACTGTTACTTGGTCTGACTGTGATTCAGAAAGTAATTCTGAAGAAGAGTCTGCCAAACTAGTTACTGCTCTAACTGTTGTTTTTACCTCTGAAAGTGACATTAGTGATGAAGAGGTGACTTTTGAAGAATTGGCTGATACTAACAAGAAATTGTGTATCAGAAGTACTAAAGTCTGTGTGCAGAATGAGAAACAATCAAAACTCATCATAAAACTGGAGGCTGAAAAAAGGGCAAACCTTGAAACTATAAGTCATTTAGAAGGGGAAGTTCAATTGCTGAACTCACAACTGAATCAAATGACCAAATCTGTCAAGATGCTGACTAATAGAACAGACAAATTGGAAGAGATCCTTCAGGTTGGACAAAATGTGAGAAATAAATCTGGACTAGGATTTATGGAAGCAAAGAAATCTGGTACAGATAAGAAGATCAGGCCTGATAAGCAAATGTCAAAACAGATGTCTCAACACAACTCTCAACATCAGGAACAGAGACATATGAAGAAAAGATACCAAAGATGGAGATGTCATCATTGTGGGAGATATGGCCACATAAAGCCCTTCTGCTTCAGATTGCATGGATACCCTAATCAGAACTCAGGTGTCAAACCTAAGTCTAAAAAGGTACCACATACTCCTCAATGGAAGAAAAAGGCTACTGCCCTGATAGCCCACACTTCCCTGAGAGTCTCTGCAAGGGAAGGCTGGTACTTTGACAGTGGGTGCTCTAAGCACATGACTGGAATAAAGAACATTCTCAATCATGTTAAACCTCACACCACTAGTTATGTGACCTTTGGAGATGGTGCTAAAGGTGAAATCAAAGGAGTTGGTAATTTGAACTGCCCTGAAGTTCCAAGTCTGAGTGAAGTACTGCTGGTAAAAGGGCTGACTGCTAATCTCATTAGTATCAGTCAATTGTGTGATCTAGGATTCAAGGTCAATTTCTCAAAATCTGAATGTCTTGTAATTAATGAAAAACAAGAAACTGTAATGAAAGGAGTCAGATCTAAAGACAACTGTTACTTGTGGGAGCCTGAGAACACTAATTTCTCCTCTGTGTGTTCCATTGCAAAAGAAGAAAAAGAGGTGAAACTGTGGCACCAAAAACTTGGCCATCTTCATCTAAGAGGTATGAAAAGGATTATCTCCATGGAGGCAGTCAGAGGGATTCCAAGACTGCAAATTGATGAAGGAAGAGTTTGTGGTGAATGTCAGATTGGTAAGCAGACTAGGATGTCACATCCAAAGTCAAGACATCTGACCACCTCTAAGGTTCTAGAACTTCTTCATATGGATCTGATGGGACCAATGCAAGTGGAGAGTCTTGGTGGAAAAAGATATGTCTATGTGGTTGTGGATGATTTTTCCAGATTCACCTGGATTAACTTCATTAGGGAAAAATCTGATGTATTTGAAGTTTTTAAAGAATTGTGCAAAAAAATTCAAAGAGAAAAGGAAGGGTGTATTGTCAGAATCAGAAGTGATCATGGCAAGGAATTTGAAAACAGCAAGTTTGATGATTTCTGTTCCTCAGAAGGAATTAGTCATGAATTTTCTTCTCCTATAACTCCTCAGCAAAATGGAGTTGTGGAAAGAAAAAACAGGACCATACAGGAATCTGTCAGAGCAATGATACATGCCAAAAGACTTCCTATGTATTTTTGGGCTGAAGCTATGAATACAGCCTGCTATGTCCATAACAGGGTCACCTTGAGAAAGGGAACCTCATCCACCATATATGAACTCTGGAAAGGAAGAAAACCAACTGTGAAGTACTTCCATGTGTTTGACAGCAAATGCTATATTCTGGCAGATCGTGAACAAAGAAGAAAACTGGACCCTAAAAGTGATGAAGGCATATTTCTAGGATACTCCTCAACCAGCAGAGCTTATAGAGTATTCAATTCCAGGACCAAAGCCATGATGGAATCAATAAATGTTATAATTGATGATTATCATGAAGAAATAGATGTCCCTTGTAATGTTGAGACATTCTTTGAGACTCCAACCCAACAGAATGATCTACCCAACACCACCACAACAGAATCTGAATCAAATGAAGCTAGCAAGATCCCTTCCATCAGAATTCAGAAGGATCATCCAAAAGAACTCATCATAGGAGATCCCAACAGTGGAGTCATTACAAGATCTAGAGAAATCATCTCAAACTCTTGTTTTGTGTCCAAAATGGAACCAAGAAATGTCAAGGAAGCTTTAACTGATGAATATTGGATTGGTGCAATGCAAGATGAACTGAACCAATTCAAGCAACATGAAGTTTGGGAACTGGTTCCTAGACCTGAAGGAACTAACATCATTGGCACAAAATGGATTTTCAAGAACAAATCAGATGCTGAAGGAGTTGTCACCAGGAATAAGGCAAGACTTGTTGCTCAAGGATACACTCAGGTTGAAGGGGTTGATTTTGATGAAACCTTTGCACCTGTAGCCAGGCTGGAATCAATCAGACTCTTATTGTCAATTGCTTGTCTTCTGAAGTTCAAGCTATTTCAGATGGATGTGAAAAGTGCCTTTCTAAATGGGTACTTGAATGAGGAAGCTTATGTGGAACAGCCTAAAGGCTTTGTGGATCCAAACCACCCTGATCATGTCTACAAATTGAGAAAAGCTCTATATGGCCTGAAACAAGCTCCTAGATCATGGTATGACAGGTTAACAAAGTTTCTCTCAGACAAAGGATACAAAAAAGGAGGCTTGGACAAAACACTCTTTGTCAAAACTGAAGGAGGGAAGTTGATGGTTGCCCAAATATATGTTGATGACATAGTGTTTGGAGGAATGTCAGAACCTATGGTTAAACATTTTCCTGAACAGATGCAGGCTGAATTCGAAATGAGTCTCATGGGAGAACTAACTTATTTTCTTGGACTGCAAGTCTCACAGATGGAGGACTCAATCTTCTTATCTCAAAGCAAGTATGCTAAGAACATTGTAAAGAAGTTTGGTATGGAGAATGCCAGTCACAAAAGGACTCCTGCTCCTACTCATTTAAAGCTTTCCAAAGATTCAAGTGGGGTTAAGGTGGATCAAAGTCTGTACAGAAGCATGATAGGAAGCATGTTGTACTTAACTGCCAGCAGACCTGATATTGCCTTTGCAGTTGAAGTTTGTGCAAGATACCAAGCTGATCCCAAAGTCAGTCATATCAATCAAGTGAAGAGAATTTTGAAGTATGTGAGTGGAACTTACAACTATGGGTTGCTATATTCTCATGGCTGTGAACCAAATCTGACTGGTTACTGTGATGCTGATTGGGCTGGTAGTGCTGATGATAGAAAAAGCACCTCTGAAGGATGTTTCTTCTTGGGAAATAATCTGGTTTCCTGGTTCAGCAAGAAACAGAATTGTGTGTCTCTCTCTACTGCTGAAGCTGAATACATTGCAGCTGGTAGTAGCTGTTCTCAAATGATCTGGATGAAACAGATGCTTATTGAGTATAATGTCACTCAAGATGCTATGACATTGTACTGTGACAATCTGAGTACAATCAACATTTCCAAGAATCTCATTCAGCATAGTAGGACCAAACATATTAACATAAGACATCACTTTATCAGAGACCTTGTAGAAGAGAAGACAATCAAATTGGAACATGTTGCCACTGAGCTACAGCTGGCTGACATTTTTACCAAGGCTCTTGATGCAAATCAATTTGAAAACTTGAGGGGTAAGTTGGGTATTTGCCAACATGAGGAATTGTAGCAATTAATTTTGCTTAAAACAAGGGTTAAAGGAGTTATGTTTGTTCTGATTGGATTAAAGTTATATTTTCCCATTTCCTTCAATTCTTTTAAGAAGTTGAATAGACACTCCTTTTCTTCCTTCCCCTCTCGTCTCCTCATCAAAACCCAGTCTCTCAATCAGAATTTTCTCTTCAGTTGTTGTTGGTCCTCTAAGACTGTCAAAATGTCTCAAACACCATCATCATCCAATACGACGATTTCAACCTCTTCCTCTGATCAAGATTCTAGGACAATCTCTTCTTGTCAGGACTCTGAAGTCCTGGAGATCTCTTCTCTTAGAAAAGTGGAAACTAACCCCACCAAGGTCAAAGAGTTGAGAACAAGACATGCAGGAAGGTCCCAAGCTTCTACCTCTGGTAATCCATCTCATCCTTCTTCTTCAGTTCCCCCTGAAATTGCAAATAGGGAAGGATCAGCCTATGTTCGTCAAGCAATAGCTAAAATTGTTTCAAGAATTCTGAACGAGAACCACTCAGTTCCTGGCATTTCTGTTCCTTTAAATCAAGAAAGTTCAAATGCTGAAACAAATCCAGATGTCTCTAAGGATGTTGAGACATCAGACAAAGAGAAGAATGCTGACATTGCTCACAAGAAAAGGAAGAAGCCAGAATCCTCTGAGTCTGATGACAGTGCTTAAAGGTTGGTGGAGTTGCTGATTGGTGGAGTTGATGCTGGTCCCTGGTAGAGTTTGGAAGTGTGTTCAGTTTTTAGTTCTGCTCTCATTACTTTTTCTGGATGACTGTATAACTTTTAAGAACATGTATCTTTGGCACATTTGTGGCTAAAGAGGGGGAGATATATTTTGGTACTTTATTAGACATTCTATTTTTCTGCAGTCTTATTTATTCTGCTGCTGCTATCTATCTCTGATTGCTTAGGGACTTTAGCCAAAAATCTGTCAAAGGGGGAGTTTGTAGTTGTTTAGGTATTGACATGCATTTTTGGTAAAACCAGGTGTATGAATGTCATGACTGATGTCATAACATTCTAGTTTATTAAGTACAGATTTATTAGGTACTTTTGCAGAAAAATATTGTCATACAGGTGCTGATGTTTATGAGTGTGTATCTGAGCATTTTGCAAAATGATCACATTTACCTAAATCAGTAGACAGGTTTTCAGATGTCATAACAGATGTTAAGACATCCTGTTCTGAACTAACAGGTATGCAGTTTGGTTAATTCTGAGTTTTTTCAGGAAAATGACTCAGTCTTTCCAGAACAAAATCCTGCGTTTTCTTTGGGTTAACCTAGCTCAACCCCAACCTGGTTGATAAAGTCTTGTGACCTAGTCTTAAGGACAAACGGAATTAACCCTAGCTTTTTGTGGAAACCCTAACTGAAGTTGCAGCTGCTATATATTCAACAGGGCTGCTGTTTTGAATGTAATCCTTTTTTTGACAGAAGATCATTTAGAAGCTGTATAGTTTTTACTATTGTAATCCAAGCAATTATCATTGTGATAAGTGACTTGGAATAGGTTTTAATTGTAAGGGTTGTGTAACACTCAAAGCTTTGAAGCAAGAGTGTTTGTATGTCTCTTGACTAAAGTTGTGAAGCAAAGTCAAGTTAGGTTTGTGTATCACTCAAAGCTGTGAAGCAAGAGTGTTTGTGTTGCTTGATTAAAAAGCTGTGAAGCATAATCAAGTGTATGTTTTGAAGAGTGTCTTCAACTATTCATTAGTCAAATTATTTTATGTATCACTGCTGTGATTGAGGGGGAGTGAGTAGGAACTCAGGTTTAAGTTGTACTTAGATTGAAGTTGCATTGGGTAGGTCTTAAGTGAAGGAGATAAACCGGTTGGTTTATTCCTGAATTAATATCTCTTATAGTGGATTTCCTCCCTGGCTTGGTAGCCCCCAGAGTAGGTGTTGTTGCACACTGAACTGGGTAAACAATTGACTGTGTTCTTTACTGTTTTTGTATTTACTGTCTTATAGAAAGTCAGATACGGTGTCATAACATTGAACGTGACATTGAGTATCTGCAGCCAGAATTTCAATTATAATATGGTATTGGCCTATAAGGGCCAATCCTTAACCTGATACTGAGCTGCCTAATAACTGTTAGATCATGGAAGCAATAAGGAAGATCCAATTATCTTCTTTCTAATTTCTCTGGTAATCTTTAAGTAAAAACATCTATTCTTGTCTACTGTTGGAGCATGGAGTTTCCAAGGTTTAGCACACCAGAGACTTGAAGGTTTGGAAATTTCAATCATTGCCGTTTTGGGATAAATTAGACAAAATGACAGAAAAATTTCAAGGAATTGAAAGTTTAACAACTGTTTTCAAGAAAGGAATTGAGTTCCTTTACACGAAAAATTTTTCATAAATGTCGGCAGTTTCTGTTTTTCATTGTTGTGTGAAGTAATTGAGGATTCGTTTATAATTTAGGTTCCAAGTTTTTTTTTCTTCCCTAAAAATGTTCAGGAGTATCACTAAGGCTATGCAGGAGGTCAGTGCTCAAGTATTCAAAAATTGACATTACCTAAGTAGCCGGGTAGACGAGACAAAAGGTAAGAAGCTCCAGCATCAGGGTGGAAGCCTATTTGAGCCTCTGGGTGGGAAAAAATCTGCAAAGTTTACACAATGCACAGTTTCCAGAATTAACATAACATGAATAAATAAATAAATTGCTGAAAAAGTTTCAGTTGAGCATATGAAGAAATCACATACAGTTTTATCAGTCACTACACGGAACATCCCTGGAAGAGAAATTCCAGATCCACAGCCCATTGTCCTTCCATTCAAAATAGAAACCTGCAAAAATTCCCATAAAATCTTCACAGATTCTGAAAAACTTTCACGAAGAATAAAAACAATAAAATAAAAGAGCAATTTGTTATTATGCAGCTACATAATTCTTAAAATACAGTATAAACTTAGTAGCCTTATCATCTTGCTAGTTGCTTCAAATACTACAAAAATGGGTTAATTTTTTAATGCTACTTGGAGACACGATAATCATGCACTTATCTCTAAGAAAACACTTCCTTAATCTGAATCAAAAATCACTATTAGTTGCTAGTTGCTTCAAATACTATAAAAATGGGTTAATTTTTTAATGCTACTTGGAGACACGGTAATCATGCACTTATCTCTAAGAAAACACTTCCTTAATCTGTATCAAAAATCACTATTAGCTTGATATCTAATCTTATGTTAAACAAGAGTAATACAGTATTTAGCACTTAGCAAGACCAAACAACTTAGAATCGATCCACTTGGGAGTGGAGAACATGAGCACGCAAAAATTTATTTTAGGTAAGTTTTTATCTCTCCAATCCAAAGTATATCTCAAACAAAACTCTTGACAGTAATCCAATACTTACGTGTGGTTTAAGATATGTCCCTTGGAGATATACGAATGAATATAACGTTCTAAAAAACTCTTTAGCTTCTTCAGCCTTTCCTGCTCATAACAAACATAAAAACGTCATAATTTGTGACTGTAAGAAACATATTAAGTGAAAGTAGCACCATTCAACTATAAAGAGATGAATGCAAGATTTGCCTCTGCTGATGAAGCAAATGGAAAAAAAAATTTGAAAACTGAACTAACAACTAATTAGAATCCTAGTATAGGCTGCCTAGTCTACAGCCCATCTGAGCATAATTCATAAATAATTTATGAAGTAAGAATATCTTAAGTGAATTGTTTATCTAAATTAAGATCCAACCAACTTATTACTGTATATGTACCATACACGGTATTGGATGTTCAGCATTTGATAAAGTTTTGGAGGGAATAAGAAGATTTGGTTCAAGACATGCCATTCGGAGAAAAAGTTTGTTTAGAAGGTAATCTTATTGTCATGTGAGGGGGGGAATCTAGAGGATACAAGGGTTTGCATAGGGTTATGATCTAAATGGAGCAAATGCAACGGATACAAAAATCTAAATTTGTAGTACTAGATTTTGCAATACCTAATACAAGCTGTAGTCAATAGAAGGAGCAACTTATCTTGTATAATGCATTAATGTTTTGCACGAATTACAAAGTCATACCTAGAGATGGATTGACTACCTGGCAAAAATTCTGAAAAAGTCTAAGGGAGAGTGAACAGAAATAGTCAAAATATCGTTTTGAGAATTAATTAAATGGTTTGAGGGTTCTCGGAGGCACAAAGAAGTGCTACCAATATGTGGGATGAACTAACTAAAGGGACCCCTAATGAATCACAAGCTTTGGATCGTAAGGTATTCTTGAGGTGTAACACAAGCAAGCAACATATTAGTTAATTAAGGTTAAATGGGAGTGTCATAAACCATCGTCTTGGTAAAGGAAATGATGAAAAATGAAATAAACATACGGTATCTAAGAAAGATGTCATGCGAGACCCGGAGAATTAGTCAGAGACTGAGAGAATTAGTCAGCCAGCTACTATGGTTATACCAATCCTTAGACACCAAGGCTACAGAAAGAAATATCTACAAGCTAGGAGCAGTCTAAATAAGATAGTTATGGGCTGAATCAAGGCTGTGAATACTAATATAGTTAAGATGTAATTACATTTACTATAAACCCCAGTATCAATGGCTCTTACTGTTATAAAAAATCCTCCATTATGCAATTGAATTTGGCACACATGGATTCTATTTTATCACATGTCACTCCTGTTTTTTGTCTCAATATGTGCTTTAAGATATACAAAAAGTTAGGATTCAAACATGTAATTGAAAGATAAATTCATAAAAAAAATAGGCATTTGATCTTTATTCCAACAAGAAGAAACTCAATTTAGCAAGATTTTAATTTTAATAAAGAAAAACAAGTACACAATAACCCAATACATGAAACAAATTTTTGATAAAGGCCCTAAATCAGCTTTTGTGATAGTTAACTTAGAACATGAAATGTACAACTTAAAAAGGCAATGCATCATGCTTTATCTACAAAATAAAAAATAGGAATAATATATAATCTTGTTAAGAGTCTCACATTGGATGAGATATGACATGAACATATATTTATAAGTGAGGGTTATAATTGTGGTTGGGCCTAACTAAACCTTATAAGTGAGGATTACCCACCACTTATAAACATATTTTCAAGTCACATTCATTCCAATGTGAGACTCTTAACAAATATATTCGCTTGTAACAGTTATTTACATGAATTCACTCTATCCCAGTGAAATATTGAAAGTAAAAACCATAATGCACGTGTTAATTCATCAATAAAAATTAAAAAATGCAACACACCTTCATTGAGCGAGTGATACAGGTTAACAACATCCGAACCCGAACAGAAAGCGCTGCCTCTACCCTTCAAAACATTCCAGCCAGAAACACATAGTCAAAAAACAAAACAAAAAATACCAATATGAATATTGCAAAATTATAAAACTACATCACATCAAAAACTATATAATATCATGAATAATAGAATCACTACATTCCTAGTTCAGGGATAAAGCCAATAATAATACCTTCATTAGAACAAAGCCAATATCAGAGTTTTCTTCCCACGAATCATAAAGCCTCTTCAACCTAGCAACCTATGAAAATCCAAAACGACTTGGTGTTTACCACAAAAAGCACAACTAAACAAGAAGGAATATGAGAAGACTGTACCATTGAAGTAGTGAGCGCATTCAGAGAAGATGGCCTGTTGAGAATAGCTGTACGCGATTTCGCTCGTCCTTCAACCAAAATCTAAACCAAATAACAAAATCATCAATTGAAAACGAAAAACAAAAGTTACATGATTAAATAATAACGGTGATAATGATGTTGATGTTGATAAGTGAAGAACGAGAAAATTGACCTGGTTTTGGGAATCTTCGTCGTCGTCATTGCGTTCAGCGTAACCTGGTTGAGCGGAGAAAGCTCGACTATTAGAAAAGAGCGAGGGAGAAGAGAATCTAGTTCGTGGTAGCAGAGCTTTGAATCTCTGCATCATGAGTTTTTCTAGCTTTATCGGTTATAGCTTGCAGAGAAGGTGTTTGATGTTTGGACTCTGGAGTGTGCTTCGAAATGAAGCGGGTGCTGAGAGTGTGAAATGAGTGCGCGAGAAAATTCTGAAATTGAAGAAATGGATTCACCAAATTGGGTCAAAATTCGTAAGGGTTTAGAAGGGTTTTTATTTTTAATTAAAATTAATTCGAAAGTTCTATTTTTAGAATGAAAAATAAAGGAAAATATATTATTTTTAAATATCTCTAATTAACTATTTTAATTCAATTTTTATATTTTTAACGAATTGGAGTAATTGATTTGTTTGCCAACAAGTTTTATATTAAGAGGAGGTCTTGTGGTTCCAAAAATCTTTTGAAATTTTTGGTTTATCAAAAATAAAATTGATTTTTCTTGAATTTAAAATTTATAGTTTTTGTCTTCTAAATTGATTCTGATAATTTTTATATTAAAATTTATTATTCAACTCATTTTTACATAAATATATCTAACTATAAATCAATTCTATCAAAATCAATTTTATTCACATAAATATATCTAACTATAAATCAATTCTATCAAAATCAATTTTATTCACAGTTAAATCAGACAACTTAAATGAATATGTTATGGAGACTCTAATAATAATATTATTATTTTCTTGGTACCATTGTAGTCTTAAGGGGAAAAAATATATTTGATTTAGTTTAGAATTATGAGATTTTAGTAAGAACATAAAGAATTGGTGACAAGTTATTACAAAGATATCAAGTGACAAGAGATTTATGGTGTTATTTGAAATATGAGACCTTTTAAAACTCTGAAGTTGGATGAGCTCCAATCAATGTACTTTTTACCAACCTCAGTAGCATGTAGTGGAAAAATCTTGTGTTAAGTTGCTGATGAATGTTGTTACAGTTCCTTTGAAGTTCTTTAAATAAGACATTGATTACTCTAATTTTAAAGATAAGGTGAAAGAGTGATGTATCATAACTAAAAATTGTTGTCAATTAAGCGATTTCTTTAAAGAAGTGGAGAGTGTTATTACTAAAATATTGAGATATAATGTATTATATTATTGAAATATGTAACATGTATTTTATATACTTTAATTTTTATATCATGAAAACATTACTAATGACAATTTCCATTTCTTGAAAGAAATAGAGAGAATTCTGACTTCAATTAAATTTATTAATATTATTTCATCCATTATTGTTTTGTTTTACAAAGTCTCGGGCTAAACGATTGGTTTAGATAAATCTAAGATTTAATTTTCTGATAATGTTTCTTAGAAGGTTAAGCGTCAAATTTGCAAGACATCAAATTTTTTACATGAAAGAGTTAGCAAGCATTATTTTCAATTTATTCTTGATGAAGTATATAAATAATTAAGTAATTGAAAATTCCGACTTCTCTTCTTTGTAGCCAGATTAACCCTAACTAATTTTGAGATTGTATATCATATGTTACTAGTTATACTATGCAAATTATTTATTTTCTAAAGTCGGGTCAACTCTCATTAATTTTGTAATTTTATATATTAATAGTTATACTATGCAAATTCGGCTTCACAATATTCATTGTTGTACTCTAAAATTTGTCCTCCCATTTTCTTTAAGACACCTCCTCGTGCTCCTAAGATTTTCAATTGCTTAAGGCTACTCAATATTTGACCAGATAAATTCTCCTCCTAAGCAGTTGACCTACAACTAGGGTTTCACTTTTCTCAAGGAAATTTGAGCTTATAATGTCTCAAGTGGGTTTCATCGTTCCTCATATGTCTCAAGGAATGCTCATGCCAAATTTCAAGCATTGCATCACAAGTTTACTCAATCAATTGCTCAAATGATTGAAAATCAATTGTGTTGGACTAAAAAGTCAATTATGGTTAACATACAGTCAAACTTCAAGATTTTTGGTCAACATCAAGATTTTGAAGTCATATTCATTTGATCAAAGGTTGACCATGATTCATCAAGAAAACTCAAAATTCATCAAAAGTCCAAAGTTGCTAAATTAGGATTTTCTTAAGGAGATGTCAACTGAACTTTGACCAAGCATAACTTTTACGTGTTTCATTAGATTTTTCTCAACCAAAGCTCATCTTGATGGAAATTCAATTCTCTACATCTTTGTAGCTCTAAGCTCAAGTAAAAAAAATGCTTCATTTGAGAGATATGGGTCAAAACATTATAGGTCATTTCAAAAGTCAATAAAAATTGAGAGAGTTATGATTGGCACAAGTTGGGAAATTTCGAGAAAATGCAAGAAACTCAAATTGATCAAACTTGAATTTTTGAGCTAGTGGACTTATGTTTCAAGGTCCAAACGTGTATTAGGCCTCATAAGTTGACCTATGAACCTATTCATACACCCCTTTGATTTTTATTCCATTTATTTTTTATTTTATTTATTTAAATTCAAAATAAATTAAATAAAATCAAGACTTTCATACAAAGGTCCAAGCCCACTTTTTTGGACCTAATTTTCTTCTATATATCCCATATTCATACCACAAGAGGAGGACATAAAACATTGCAAGAGATCACCTTTCCAAAAACTTCAAAAAATTATCAAAACTAGGGCAAACTACAAACCCTGATTTCAGCCTCTCTCTAAGCAAGTCAATCATCCAAATCAATCTCGGAGGCATTATAGGGTAAGAATTGATCAATCTTGATGATCCAAAGGACTTGAAAATCTCATACATTCATCTCCGATTTCCTTGTTTTTTTTTTGTAATTCGTATTTTTGTTTTCATGTTGTTTTGATGCATACTAACATTACTAACATGCTTCTGAGATATAACTATGCAGGATAGACCCATCGTATGGCCTCCATAACGATTGAATCATGAGATACCATGTTTGAATTATCTCGTGTTATTTGCACTGTATCTCTTTGTACAGGGAGAATCAGCCAAAACCAAGGGCGTCATTGAATTCGCAAGGCCTAAATTAGGGGATAAGGGTACCACTCACCCCTGGCATTTGCACTATTTTTATTTTCTAACCCTATTTTCTATTGATTCTTCTTCCTCTGTCTATTTTTTGGCAAGTCATGTTGTTGTGAAGGCAAAGGGCGTGGATTCAACACTCTCCCCTGGCATTTGCACTATTTTTGTTTTCTAACCCTATTTTCCATTTATTCTTCTTCCCCTATCTATTTTTTGGCAAACTTAATTCTTTTTTATTAATCATTAAACATAAACCTTTTTTTATTAATTAAAATTAATTAGGTTTTAGGTTTTTTAATTAATTTTTTCAAATTTAAACCTTTTTTTGTTAATTAAAATTAATTAGATTTTAGGTTTTTTAATTATTTTTTTTTTCAAAATTAACCTTTTATTAATTAAAATTAATTAGATTTTAGGTTTTTTAATTCAATTTTTTTTTTAAATTAACCTTTTATTAATTAAAATTAATTAGATTTTAGGTTTTTTAATTCAACTTTTTTTTTTAAATTAACCTTTTGTTATTAATTAAATTAATTAGGTTTTAGGTTTTTTAATTAACTTTTTTTCAAAATTAACTTTTTTTTAATTAAAATTAATTAGGTTTTAGGTTTTTTAATTCAACTTTTTTCAAAATGAACCTTTTTTTATTAATTAGAATTAATTAGGTTTTTTAGGTTTATTTAATTAATTATCATAAATCATTTTTTGATAAAAAATCACCAAAATATTTTCTTTGCTATTTTCATCTTATTTTTATTTTCCTAGACAAAGTGTATAGGGCGCGTTCAACTGTACTAGCGTAACTTTATTTTTTTCCGTATTTTTCTATTATATAACAACTCCTAGTATGTAATAGTTGTAGGTTTTTATTTTCCGCACTTCACTATTATGTAACTGCCCCAAAGCTCTAGAATAGCCTAAGTTTATATTTCTGCCTTTACCTTCTGCTACTATATTTTATACAATTGTTAGTAATTAGGGTTTGTATGGCAAGATAAAAATGAATGATAGAAAACCCTAATTGCAAGACTAAATAATTGAAATGAACACACTTGCACACTCACACCTTTAGGGTAACCTCTTTTCGTTGTCTTTCAAAATAATAGTCATGTCCCTTGAACGTAGAGATGCTTTAGCAAATACCCTCGAATAAAAGATCATAAGTCCCTCGATGACCCTTCGACGTTGCCTACAAATAACATGACCTAGCCCCTTATGAAATTGCTAAAGCATCCTTACAAGTTGCATTCGATGACTGTATGACTGTAGCTCTTATATGCTAATTTGGTGCAAATTAGGAGCAGTATAACAGGACTATTTGTAGCAGTTTTGGAGTGTTGTGGCAACTTGGTGTAGGGTTGTTTCATAGCAGTATGTGATACGGTGGGAGAACTGACTTGGGATTTTGTGTTTGTGTTTGCAAATGTTTTGGTTTAGCAAGAGTCGCCACCGACTTTTTATTTTATCCTAAGGAAAGGTCAAAAAGCATAGGAAAGACCTTTGAGATGTTTTCTTGGGTTCGGGGAGTAGATTATAGAAAGGGAAGGTATTAGCACCCTTTCTATCCATGGTTATCCATGGGCTCTTAGTTATTTGCTTAAATCACTTGCTTTGCTTTTCAATTGTTTGAAATGGTGCTCTTCAATTGTTTGAAATGGCGCTTTGTGTGTGGTTTTGAAAGATGTTTTGAAAAGTGGCCATCGTTGTGGCAACCTTTGTAATGATTCTTGTTTGAATGTATACAAAGGTGTTTTTGTATTTTGAAAAGTTTTCAATGTTTGAAAGTAGGGTTTTGAATTTGTGTTGTGAAGTGTGTTTTGAAGATAGCAAGGATGTTTTTGCAAGTTTGGATCAAGTAACTAAGAGTTGTCTACCCTATTTTACTCAAAGATTTTTCTTATGTTTTTAACCTTTTTAACGGTGTTGTTTCACCATTGTATTTGGTGAACAACTTTATGTTAGGATGTTAAACGGGACAGGCGCGGGTCATCGTATAGACCATGATAGCAATTGTGTCAAGTATTTTTGGCAATTTTCTTGAGGGA